TCCGTTCCATTCCGTTCCATTCCGTTCCGTTCCATTCCATTCCATTCTATTCTATTCTACTCTATTCTATTCTACTCTATTCTATTCTACTCTATTTTATTCTACTCTATTCTATTCAAGTAGGAGATCCTATACCATTTGAGACAAGTGATTGTCCAGCTTCTTCTTAAAAACCTCCCGTGATGGACCATCCACACTTTCTGAGGGAAAGGCATTCCACTGGTTAATTGCACTATAGGTCAGCTAGGCTGCTTCTCCCCCAGTTGAGTTTCCATCCATTAGTTCCTGTCTTGCCTTCTGGTGCTTTGGAGAATAGGTTGACCCCCCCTCTTCCTTGTAGCAACCCCTCAAATATTGGAACACTGATATCATGTCAGCACTAGTCCTTCTCCTCATTAGACTAGACATACCCAATTCCTCTAACTGTTCTTCATATATTTTAGCCCTTGTTGCTTTTCTTTGCACTCTTTCCAGAGCCTCGATATCCTTTTTTTATATCTGATCATTTGGTGATCTGATCATTTGTTGCCAAAATACCTACAAAAAGATTGCACATGTAGTTATGTACTTATTCCATGAAGATTGCTTGGACATTGTAGCCACCAGCTTGGATCCAGCCCATCTTCCCAAATAATAACGGAGGAACTTTGGGAAAACTAACTTTTTTTTTTCCTCTGGAAGTCAAAGAATGTGCCAGGAACCCAAGATTATTCCATTCTCAGAACAGCAAGATTTGTACATCTATAATTGCGAGGGGCTGTCAAGGCAGGCAGAATGATATGCAACATCTTGTTGAGACAAATCATGTCTCTGCTGTGCATTGACAAAGCATTTCATGGCTCCCGTGGCATAGAACTCTTCATCAAGATGAAACCGAGCTGCCTCGTGCATACATAGTAAATGATGACACTGATAATATCGTCTTGAGGGAGGAGAAACCTCAAAGAATAATGGGCCATCCTGAGGAGATTCTACATGAAAGGGAAATGCTTCTTAAAAAGTGGATTTAAAAATGTAACAGGTAGACAAACATCTGTCAGGCCCGAGCTCACAGAAGAAACAGCACGATCCAATCTGGTCCAATCCTTTATTAGCTTACACCTAAGGGACAGAATCTTGCCAAACTAAAGCTATAATCTTCTAATCCACTACACATGTTGTGAGAGATTCGAAGGTGTGATATTCTGAACCGCTTCCTCTTCTTCCCTGCCCAACTCAGGCAGGGATGGGCTTCAAAATTTTTAGCAACAGGTTCTGTGCCCGGTTGGTGGGTAGGCGTGGCCATGGTGGGCGTGGCCTAGTTGGCCTCCTGCACCATGAGGGAGCATTTTTGTCCTCCCCGGCTTTCCTTGAGCCTCTGGGAGAGCGAAAACCAGTGGTGGTATTCTACCAGTTCGGCCTGGTTCGGGCAAACCAGTCGTAAAAAAATGTTACCAACGAACCGGTAGTTAAAAAAATAGTTACCGGTTCAGCCGAACTGGTATTTCTTTTCTTTTTTTTAACTTTTCCCTCCCGATGATCAGCTGTTCCGATGATCAGCTGTGCTGAGATCCCCCTCACTGTCTTACTGCTTCGCCTAGGAGGCTTCCCTGAGGCCTAGGAGGCAAAAAGGGGCACACGGGGTGGTGGTGCTGCATACCGCCCCCCCGTATTCCATTTTTGGCCTTCTGGGCCTCAGGGAAGCCTCCTGGGAGCAAAAACGGCCTTCCAGGAGGCTTCCCTGAGGCCCAGGAGGCAAAAAAAATGACGGGGGGTGCTTCTACAAAAAAAGAAGCCACACCCATCCAGTCACATGACCACGCCCATCTAGCCATGCCCACCTAGCCACATCCACAGAATCAGTAGTAAAAATATTTGCATCCCACCCCTGGTGAAAACAGCCTCCTCGGGCTCCGGCGGCTCTCTGGAAGCCAGAAACAGGCCCATTTCCGGCCTTCCCGAACTTCCGGGAGGCCCATTTTTTGAGCTTCCACATGTGCCCTGCACTTACCTGCATCCAAAATGGGCCACGTGGAGACTCCTGGGAGGAGAGGGGAGGGGTGGATGGAGCCAGCCAGGAATGGGATTTGGGGGGTCCTCCGAACTGTGCAGAATCTTAGCTGGAGGATCTCCTGAACCCCTGTGAACCCCCAGCGGCGCACCCTTGATCTCAGGACTGTGCAGTCTCTTAATATAACCTCTCTCTGGGAAAGCTCTCGGTTGCCCAAACCCTCCCTCTGCTTCTCAGGAGCATGTTCAATCACACAAACTCCCCCGAATTTCTGACATCTGAAGG